TTCCGCTTTGATTTTTAATAAAATAAACAATTTGAACGTTAATCAAAAAGATCTGTTATCATTGCCCTTTTCTTTTTTAAGATTCATTTTACAATGACTCAATTTGGACTTAGATAAGAAACTTGTTCCCTTTTGGAAGAGGTCATTGAAAAGAATTTTCGGAAAAAACAAAAATTCGGTGACATCATACGACATATTACTTAAAAATGTGACAAAATTTAAGTTGATTCTGTTTTGGGAATGAATGAAAAATGTTTGATTGTGATATCAAGATCATTGCCATTTCGGTAAATTTCCCAAAATTCAATTCCTGTGGCGCAATAATATATTACTTTGTAATAAAATTGTTTAACATTGTCGAAGCAGACTTTGACAGACTATTATTTACAAATTAAATGTAGAGAATAAAATAATAATCAAAATTGCCTTGATTTATTATAATATAATAAAAAGAGTATAATATAATGATTTGAAAAAAAATAAAATGTTGAGAATTTGAATTTACATTTAAAATTCTTGTTCCTTCATCTCATCTGCTTTCTTCGCTTTCTTCGTTAATCTCATTTGAACTAATTATAGCTCGTGGAAACACTTTTGCAGCTGTATATACTTTTCTGTTTGAAGACTCCAAATCTCGCCCAACAAGAGGAAAATAACAAATAGCTACACTTAATTGATTAACATCACCATCATCTTCCCAAATTCCGTTCATCAAATTTGAATCAATTTTGGTATCCTTACGAAAGAAATGTAGTTCCGCTACCGGTTCTTGAACACTTAAACGAAACCATAATAATTTGTAAATATCTTGAACAAGTTTTGGTGCCATTGCTTCAACTTTCTTTTTTTTATCAACATCATTGATTTTTCGATATTGATTCATCATTTTATTAAGTTCTATGCTAGCATAACTTATTTGACAATGCCTACGAGTTGTAGAAGTTCCATCAACATCGAAATCAATCATATCATTGTATCCGCGATTACCAAGAATTCCATAAACTTCTTGACGAATTTTTATTGCTGCCGCATCAATAACTTTGTCAGTACCATCGCGATGCTTAGAGAGAGAATTGATTAATCTCATCAGTTCTTTTGTTTTTATATCTATATCCAATTCACGTGAGAAATCTGAACCTCGATAATTAGATAATATATAAGAAAGAAATTGCACTTGATCTAATACTTTGCGTTGTAAAATGGCCTTAATAAAGGGCTTATTTGGATTTTCGACGTTAATTTCATTTAAACAACCATATTCTTGCGCAAGTATTCGTACTTTTTCAATATCAATATCAATATTTGGTTTCAAATGAGTTACATAATTTTCCAAAGATTGCTGTAATTGCAAGATGTCTCGTTTGAATTTAACCGAATGATTTTGATCATCATCATCAAGCCGAGTATTTGTCGCTACACCAAGTGCTGATTGATATTTAGAGGCTTCTTCTCTAAGTTTAGCATTTTCTTTTTCTAATTCACTTAAGCCGTTTCCCTTATCGTTTAATTTATTTTGTAAATTATTAAGGTTCTTAATATGTTTTTCTTGTGTTTGTTGCAATAATTGATGGAAATGTTTCTCTTGTTTCTTATTAAGTTGCTCTAAACTCTCAATGGTTTTCTCATATTCTTCTCTCTCTTTAACAAGTTCTTGTTTCATCTTTTCTTTTTGCAATTCAAGCTCATGTTTACAAGATGCCAGTTCATTTTCTAAATTTGTAAGTTTTAAGTTGGCTTCTTCCTTTTCCTTTTCCTTTGCTTTTGAATTTTCACGTTTTTTATTTTTATACACTTTTTGTTTATTTTTTTCCTCAAGTTCTCTGGACTTATGAATTAAATCATTATTATGATTCCACCAATTATCTGATTCTTTCTTTAACGAATTATTATTTTCTTGTTTGACTTCTCTTTTTAATGAAACATTTTCTTCTTTAAATCTATTTATTTCGTTTGTTTTTTTTTCACGAGCATCCTGGGATTGAAACGATGATTCTTCTCTTGGCCTGAAACTTTGTCTAGGTCTCATTTTGGCGTTATACATAAAATAATAACTAATAATAACATATTTCTATATATACTTATTTTCAACCAATGTGATAATTAAAATTTGGGTGATATTGCTATTTGACAACTTGTCACATATGCATGTTACTAAAAAATAATTTTGTCGCACAGCATCTGATATGTGAGATAAGTGAATCAATTTTCTTAAAATTGATTTATAAAAAAATAAAATTGTATTTTAATGAAAGGATTTATTCTAATATATAAACACATGTGTACAATAACGATAACAATTCAATTTGATCATTTTTAGAAAAAAAAAAAGAGGTTATTTCATAACCCTTATATCAAAATTGTTCTTTAATTAATTGTTATTATTCTGATACGTTATTTGTTAAGACTTAAAAAAAAAATTTCATATACATATCTCGATGGAAGTTGACCTTTGCTTTGTTATGGATTGTACCGGTTCTATGGCAGGCCACATTAACGCTGCTAAAGCTTGTATCCTTAGGGTGGCAGCACACATGGAAACTTTTAAGCCAAGTGTTACAATTCGATTCGGTTTCTGTGGCTATCGCGACCACTGCGATGGTGTTAACCGTCTGCAGATTTTCCCCTTCACTGACTCAAAAGTGCATTTCGAAAGAGACTTATCCACCGTTTCAGCAATGGGTGGTGGAGATAGCCCAGAAGACGTTCTAGGCGGTCTTAATGCAGCCGTGAATCAAATGTCCTGGCGCAATAAAGTCCGTATAATTTTCCATATCGGGGACTGCCCACCACACGGAACACGTTATAAAAACAGTGACGATAGCTACCCTAATGGCGACCCGTACGGTCTAACTGCAGAAAGTGTGTTAGGGGAGATGAAATCCAAACAAATCTTCTACTTTTTCGGGAAAATCACAGAACAAACTAATGAGATGATTAACATATTTCGCGGCATAATTGGAGAATTTCCAGTGTATCTTCTTAACACTGTAAATACGGAGGTGTTAGTCAACAAATTTTTTGAGTCCACCTGTTCGGTAATCGAAACTGCTATCTCACTAATAGAATAGTCAATCAACTCAAATTCGAATTGAAAATTTTTAAGAATTAGCATTTGAACGAATGTTTTATATTTATTTCGATTTTTATTATTTTTTTTTCTTATTATCTTCTCAAATAAATTTTTTATTATTACTTTTATTTATGTACAAGTTTTTGACGAAACTAAATCATGTGGTCATAAATAAATCAATTTGATTGACTAAGAATTCGATGAAAATTTTAATCATGACTAATTCCTTTGGAACCTCACACATTATTCTTAACTCAGCTCTCTCTTAAAGATCTCGAGCAATTCTATACTAATAATCAAGCTTGGATGAAGCAAATTAATGATGATTTTTATTGAAGGCAAAGGTTATTAGTCGAGAAGTATTGGAATATACAGTTGAATCTCACTATAACGAATCTTCATTTTTGGAGGTCACAATTCGTTATAATGAGCAAATTCGGTAACGTCTTACCGAATTTTAACAATTTGTTCGTTACTAAATATCATATTCAATAATAAATATCTTAAGAAAAATGTTAATTTTAAAGCAATATTATTTAATAAATCAATTATTAATATATCATATCATCCAAAAATTTTATTCTCTTTCTAACGAATATTTAAACATAACTCACGCCTATAAACTTCACTTTATTATATAGTTTTTTCGTTTGTTTTGACAAATACATTCTTTTTTATTCAAAATATCTCAAATAAGCAATAACAACAAATAACAACATCATGTATTATGCATATTACGTGATTGTGTATCTGACTATACATATTTTTCACAATTAAAATTTCGTAATTTTAAATTTACACAGTTTTTTGCAGTTTTGCAATTGAAATTATAAAAATTAAATAAATTGAATCAACTAATTAATTACAACTGATTCAATACTGATTAATCCTAGATTTGACACTAATTAATCTGAGATTTAACATCAATTAATCCTTATAAAAATTTATTAAATAATTTACATATTTTATTATATTCTTGCGAATATTTAAATTATTAATTTATACTTTATTAAAATTTATAATGTAATATTTCCTTTAAAAATAATACAAAAAAAATATTATATCTAGTGTGTAAAATCTATGTGCATTTTTATTTTTTTTGTGCACATATTGCTTATAATGAAGGATTATAGAAAATTAATTCTGGCTGTATAGATGATACAATAGAGCTGAATAGATTTTATGAAAAAATGCATAATATTTGTGAAGAAGATAGTATAATGATGACAAAGATGAATCAGATATCTGAAAAAAATATACATTCTGCTTATGTGTTTATAGTTCTATCCTAAACCAATGTTAGTTGAATAGGTATAATATTTATTTTACTAATCTGCTTACTTGTCAGACTAATTTGATTACTTGCTTGAAATACTTTTGGATTAATAGAAGCGTTTCAAGAATCAAATTTTTTGAAAGAATTTGAGGAGTTCTCTAACTCAGACTCTAATGAATACTAGAAATTCCCTAAGGTATATACCTTTATTAAGTACTAAGTTTGGCCAATTGTTGTTCACTAGCAGCAATTAGAGGGTATGTTTAACTGATATGATATAAAAGTACATGCGAATATGAGTAAAGAATTACAAGAATCAAGAATTATTCTTTCAGATCTCGGTAATAAAAGTGTAGAAATTACACAAGAAAGACTTCAAAAAGTCTGCTAAAAATTCAAAGAAAAAGAAAAAGAAAAGGTTGAAAATGAAAATGAATCAACGTCAAGAGTGGAGGTGGCGAATGCTATTCTAGATTCTTTTTTATTGTGTTAAAATGTGAGATTTTACTATTTTTGAATATTTATAGCATTGTTCATTATCTTGCAAATCAATGAACATGTGAATTATAAATTCATAATATAATAAAATTTATGACTAATTGTGAATTGAAACATTGAACAAACTTTATTTATAAAATATATTTAATATTAAATATATTGAACTAAAATTCCAAGGAAAATTTCAATTAACGTTAATGACTAACAAAATGATTGATAAAAAAAATTCTCAATAAAGATCTACAATATAGTAGTTTTACTATATTTGTGATTAGACTAATATTACACACTCTAATAGGAAAGCAATAATGATAGATTAGGGTTTTGATCATGAGTTTAACAGATCAATGTTATAGGGATAATGTTTGGTTTATTAATAAAATATAAGTGGATCAATACAATTCAATAAACTAAATAAGCTCTTGTTAGCGAACTTATCAATTTATGAATTTTACAATAAATACTTTAATTCAAATTTACCTTTTACTATTTCTATCTGTAACTATCTCTAACTGTCACTAACTACAACAATTTTCTTTTCTATTTATATAAAATATTTGATCTACTTCTATTACTAATTTAAGATAAAATAAAACTATTAAAACTAAAGAAACGTTATAAACTTCATTAACTTAGTTAACTACATTAACTAATTTAACTAAATAAATATAAGAAACTAATTAAACTTAATTAACTATATTAACTTAGTTAACAACGTTATTATCGTTTCTGAGGTTTCGGCCGTTTTGATCGTCATGCTGCGACTTAAGAAATTACGGCTCTCTTTAGTAGTGATCTGTAGAATTATAATATTAATCACTCTTTTCAAATTATCTCCGCTTCTATTAGTCTAATAACCTTGTATTTATATTCTTTGGAAAGCTCTCGACGAGACAGTTCTAATGATCATATTTCCATCAAAATGTAATTATTAGGTCGAAAGTTATTTCATTTAACAGTATACATATTTTATAGTATAAATATTACTTTTCAGATATAGGTATTATATATTCAAATAAATACAATTAAAATATACAGGTAGAAACTTAACTGAATAATATGCCTTCTCTATTTCATTATAGTATTCTAATGCTATATTTATAAATACTTTTGATAAAACATTTCTCAATTTCTGATTCATATTATTTCACTTAGTATTATATCTTCTGTTAAATCTTTTTCTTCTTGTTCAATCTCATAATTATCCTACTCATTCTCATAGTTATCTTGTTTATCTTCTGATTCTATATCAAATAAAATATCATCATCTTCTTCTAATACTTTATTTATATGCTATTTTTGAAGTGATTTTTTCAAAGAATCTTTAGATCCTCTATTATGACAAATAAAAGTGGTATCATAAATATAACAAATAGTATCAAGATATGGCATTAAAAATTTTTTTTCATTTTCTGTAATTTTTTTGGAAGCATATAAACATCTTAACTTATTACAATTCATGCATGTTACAGTTATTCACATTTTTTGCTTTTTATAAGTTTTCTGTTTACAGTATTTGCTTATTTCACTTTAGTTTTTCTCTTTTATTTTTATTTGACTTTGCCTTGTATAATTCTATAAATAGATAATAATAAGACTTATTTGTATCTATACTTTAAACATTATTAAAATTTTTGTAATGATAACTATTTGTCAGAATTAGTAATTTAATAAATCAAATATATGTTATAGACTTCTATCAGTAAGTATAAATTACAATTAATATCACACACTTTTTTATTAAAAAATTAGGAACAAAATAACAATAATAATCAAAAAATTCTTTAATAGGCTTAAAATAAAATAAAATAGATTAATAAGTTTTATTTAAATAATAATTACAACATATATAATAACTTACTTTATTTTTTATATCTATCTAACTTCTATCTTCTTTGGTTAATATAAAATCTATTGAAAGAATTATATTCTACAACATATTCATATTTAATTCTGATATATCTTCAAAGGTCTTAAAATTCTTATCATTTAATTGTAAACATTAAAACAAATCATTTAATAAAGTAATTGTAGGATTTAAGCTTTCCTTAAGATTTTTTTTAAGTTAGAAGTTTTTATTTTCCTAATGTCATTTATGCTATTACATTATGACATAATTTTTTCTGATTTTATATCCATTTTTTAATGTATAAGACTAATATATTGTAATCCTAAATTTAAG